TGATAAAAATTTTATTTGTGAAGAAGTTCATGAAGTCATTACTAGTTAACGTTAAAGGGATGGTTGGCTCAAAAGAGCTCTGACTTTTTGTCAGCCTGGCTACAGTGCTGAAGAGAAACCTGGGGGGCATCCATGTGGATGCTACTTTGACACGTACCACCTACCTAAGCATTGCTGCAGACCAAGCACACCCTTTCATGGTAACGGTATTCCCTGATTGCTGTGGCCTTTTTCAGCAGGATAATGCGCTCGGCCACAAGGCAAAAAATAGTACAGGAATAGTTTGAGGAGCACAACATTTAGTTTGAGGTGTTGACTTTCCCAGATCTCAATCCAATCAAGCATTTGTGGGATCTGCTGGACAAACACATCTGATCCACCGAGACCCCACCTCACATCTTAGAGCAGAGGTCCCCAGCCCCCGGGCCATGGACCAGTACCGGTCCGTGAGTCGTTTGGTACAGGACCACCAGAGTTGAGGCTCGGGTGTGAAATTTATGGTTTTCAGGGTTTTTATCGTTAACTCTGTTTCCCTGGGTCTTTTCCTGTGTCTTATGAATAAATCATCTTTTTTTTGGTACCAGTACTGGTTTTACTTTGTTGTATTTATCCGCGACACCTTAAAGGCCGGTCCGTGAAAATATTGTCGGACATAAACCGGTCCGTGGCGCAAAAAAGGTTGGGGACCGCTGCTCTTAGAGGACTTAAAGGATCTATTTCTAGCATCTTGGTGTCAGATACCACAGGACACCTTCAGTGGTCTAGTGTTTTGGCAGCAAAAAGGGGACCAACACAATATTAAGCAGGTGGTCATAATGTTATGCCTGGCTGGTCAAATATTTGTTCTGTCTCTAAATCCATGGCTGTGATGAATATTTACATAAAGTTTGTGTAGAAAATGAGATGTTACAGGTAAACACAAAACATCAATGCAACAAATGCAGGATTTTGCAGAAGCTTTCAGTCTACTGTTAAAGTTATTATCACCGAACATGAGGAGGAAGTTCCAGTGTGCACAATGCATGCAGACATTTCTTCATTTTAGCCGTGTATTCTCTGTAAATGATCCTCTATTTTATTAGGCCCTGCATGTGTGGGTGGTTGTGGAGGAGCGGGAAGAGGGAGGCAGCTGGAGATGGGGAGGGAAGGAAGGGAGGGGCAGGTAACCCCTCCCTGGGGCCAGCTCCCCCGCTGACCCCAGTAGGCACTCCCACCCTCCGCGACCCGCCAGGGAAGGGGGGCCCAGGCCCATCAAACCGGGGCCCAGTGCAGTAGCGCCCCCCGGCTCCACAGAGCCCTGGACAGTCCACCCAACCCCACCACAGAGAAAACTGCACCCACCCCACCAACCACACATCTTCCAGACTACATAAGACGGTAAACGCCCAGGCTGAGATCTTCCTCCACCTCTCCTGTATCTCCCCCTCCTGCAGAGAGTTCCTGAGAGAAGAAAGCTCCTGCAAGATGTGACCATCCCCCCCACCAGTTGAAGAGCCCCCCAGGCGGCTCGATGCACCGGCGGCACCCTGCTCCAGGGCCGGGCCCCCATGCACCCACCCGCCCACAACCCCGGCAACACACCAACCAGGACCCGAGCCCCCGAGGCCCGGCCCGGGCCCCAGCCCAGAGACGGAGCGCCCCCAAAACCTCACGCCCATCCCGGACCCACCCAGGGGCAGCCAGGTTGCCAGGTCAGTAACCCACGTCCGTCAGCACAGACCCTCCCCTAGCCCCGCTGCACGCAGCCGCGAGGAAACAGTCACCTGAGAGCCAACAGAGCCCTCAACCGGACGTGACCGCTACCCCGGGTTGAGCCCCCCAAGGAAGATGCCTCCGGGGAACCCCCCGACGCCCTAAGCCTGTCCCTACCCCCTCACCAATCACAACAGTGAAGGCGGGACCAAACTATGACCCCCCACCCCCACTAGGTGATGGAGCTGATAAAAGGGGCCCAGAGCAATTGATCTAATGTGGTGGCAGAGGCTGTGTCAAGACTAATGTAATCTAATAGATAATTTCTATATTGGTTAGAATTAAGATTATTTTTATTTTTCCAGTTCATGAGGACTGTTTTCTTGGCTATGCATAGGGCAGTGAAGATCATATGGGCTATATTCTTTTCTGAGGTGACATTATCTAAGCTGCCCAACAAACACACTAAGGGGGAGGTTGGAATGTTACATTTCAGACATTTTGATAAGTCTTCACATATCTCGCGCCAAAACTTTTGCACTGGTGGACAGAACCAAAGAGCGTGGATGTAATTGTCTGGTGTATTGCCTTGACAGTGTGAGCAGTTGTTGGAAGATGTAAAGCCCATCTTGAACATCCGATGACCTGTATAGTGCACTCTATGAAGTATTTTGTATTGTATTAATTGCAGACTGGGATTTTTAATTAATTTAAAAGTTTTTAAGCAAATCTGAGACCAGAAGTTTTGGTCTAGGTTGACTGATAAATCTGCTTCCCACTTTGCAGTAGGAAGGGATATTGATTCATCTAATTTAGAAAGTGTTCTGTATATTTTAGATAATAATTTGGGGGATTTAAGAGTAAGAAAATGTGCCGCACTTAGTGGTGTTTGTAATTCAACTTGACTGAGGTTAAATTTCTTTTTTACTATGGATTTAATTTGTTGATATTCTAAAAACCTTGTCTTGTTGATCCCATATTGTTCAACTAGTCTGTCAAATGGAATAAATTCTGTTCCCTCTAATATATGTTCTAAGTATTTAATTCCTTTACAACTCCATTCTGGGAAATTAATCATATTATTGTTTTGTAATATGTCAGGGTTATTCCAGATAGGTGTACGTTTGCATGGGATTAATGAAGACTCCGTTATTTTTAGAAACTCCCACCATGCTGTTAGAGAAAAGCTGATGTTGATACTTTTAAAGCATTCATGTCTTTTGATGTTTGAGCTAATAAATGGTAGGTCTGAAATCTCTAGATCCTTGCATAGTGCCTGTTCAACATCTAGCCAGGGCTCAACTAAGAAGGTATGTTTTAACCATTCTGAGATGAACTGAAGCCTGTTGGCTAAGAAGTATTGGTGAAAATTAGGCAGATCTAATCCTCCTCTATCCTTGGTTCTTTGTAGCGTTTTTAAGCTAATACGCGGGGGTTTATCTTTCCAAAGGAATTTGGAAATATATGAATCCAGAGATCTGAACCAATCTTGTGATGGTTTGTTAGGGATCATCAAAAATAAGTAATTTATTTTTGGCAAGATCATCATTTTTATAGTGGCGACCCTTCCCATGAGTGATATGGGTAAAGATTTCCATCTAGTCAGATCGCCTTCTACTTTCTTTAGAAGTGGGATGTGGTTTAGTTTAGTTAAGTCTGAAAGCTTAGGAGAGATATTAATACCTAAATATTTAATATTTCCGGATTGCAGTGGGGCAGAGGAAGAATTATGGAAGGAGCAGTTAATGGGGAGAACTGTAGATTTTGGCCAGTTAATTGAATAATCTGAAACTCTTGAAAACCAGTTTATTAAAGTAATTACCTCAGAGAGGTTGGTTTGTGTGTTTTGCAGAAAAAGCAACACATCATCCGCATAGAGACTGATTTTATGTTCTATGTTCTTACATTTTATGCCCTTAATTGTTGTAGCCTGTCTAAATGCTGCTGCTAGAGGTTCGATAAAAATTGCAAAAAGTGAGGGGGAGAGTGGGCATCCCTGTCTGGTGCCCCTCAGGAGACAGAAGCTGGAGGCTGTCTGGTCATTTGTTCTGATACGAGCCGTTGGGGAATTGTATAATATTCTTATCCAGTTTATGAAAGAGTTTCCAAAACCAAATTTGTGTAAAGTTGCGAATAAAAATTTCCAATTAACTCTGTCAAATGCTTTTTCTGCATCTAGAGATAATATTATGGCTTCGATGTTTTTATCGTATGAGTAGTCTATTAAATTAAGTAATCTACGAGTGTTTGTTGAGGAGTGCCGACCTTTTATGAAACCAGTTTGGTCAGGATGAATTAAGAGGGGGGTCATTTTCTCTAATCTCTTTGAGAGAGCTTTGCAGATTATTTTAAGGTCTACATTTAAAAGAGAAATTGGACGATAGCTTGAGGGAAATAAAGGGTCTTTGCCTGGTTTTAGCAGGAGACTAATGTTGGCAGAATTCATATTTGGTGGTAGTCTGCCCTTTTCCTCGATTTCCTGCAACATGCTGTGGAATACTGGTGCCAAAATTGTCCAGAATTCTTTGTAGAATTCTGCAGGGAAGCCGTCTGGACCTGGAGCCTTATTATTGGGCATACTTATCAGGGCTTCCTGGAGTTCACTTGGCGTCAGTGGCGAATCCAGTTCCATTGCTTGACTGTCTAGTAATTTTGGAAGAGTTACGTTGTCAAGAAACAGATCAATTTCATTTTTAGATGGGTTTATTTGTGGTGAGTATAAAGTTTCATAGAAGTCCCTAAAAATGTTGTTTATTCTTCCAGGGTCATATATTGTATTCCCCGATAAATCTTTAGCAGCACATATAGTTGTTTTTTCTTTCTTTATTTTTAACTGATTAGCTAGAAATCGACCTGATTTGTTACTGTGTTCAAAATTCTGCAAGCGAAGTCTTTGTATAAGGAATTGTGTTTTTTTATTAATAGTTTCATTTAATTCTAGTTTTGTTTTGCATATTTTGTTCAATGTTTCCTGATCTTGGTGGGACGCGTAGGCTTCTTCTAGTGATTTGATGGTTTTTTCTAATTCCTGAATATTTTTGTTTTCTTCTTTCTTTTTGTGTGATGAGAAAGAAATTATTTTACCTCTCATCACAGCTTTCCCTGCTTCCCATAGAACAGAAGCAGATATTCCGGGAGTGTCATTAAAGTCTAAATATGAAGTCCATTCCTTTTTAAAGTATTTAATAAAGTCTTCATCTTTAAGTAGTGATATATTAAATCTCCAGTTTTTACTTGGCGTAGTATTATTCTTGTGCATTAGTGTTAAAGATACAGGAGCATGATCGCTGACAGCGTTCTGTGTGTACCTGACGTGCCGGATGTGGGAGAGCAGCATGGTGAGATGGCCAAGGCGCAGAGTCTGCTGCTGGGTGGATAGGCCCAGTTTGGAGATGGCCCAGACCAGCGCATCGATCACAGAATTCAGGAGATGCAGCAGTTTGTTTCTGCTTTCCAGCTCTTCTGGAGTCTGCGGGGAGCTCGTGCACAGACCTGTGAAAAACAGCACAGCTACGTGTCATTACTGAGACCACTGATCCTTTTTTAAAGACGTGCCCTTTAGTTACACACGACCATAAAAGTTTAGATGCTGTTTGAGACGTAAATAGAAGCAGAATTCAATAACATACACATCATTTATACTCTATATACTTATAGAGAAAACATATGAATAGGTTAAAACTGAGAAATCAGATGTGGCACGTTTGAATTTGACAACAGCAATATATTTAAAATTGCTGGGACAGCAACATATTTTTGTCATTGCATTACAACAACACTGCAAAAGTGTGCAACTTATCATATTTCCCATTTCATAATGCAACAAATGTTTTAACTGGGTCACTGGTCTGGATTGCAAGCTGTCCAGTACTGAATATCTTAGCTTTCTTGAGTGAGTACATGTACTGTCACAATTATACCTAGGATAATGTTCATTCAGCATTCAGCACTAACCCGTTTGTAAAAACTGATCTGTACCGTCTGAATCCTATTGATACTATATATATTATCCTCACCTCTTTGCATATAATCATTATTACTGAGCTCTGGCTCTCATCCATAGTGTGTCTTTGCACTGTTTCCCTGCTTCACGCCCAATTTGTGGTGGCAGATGGCCACCCCAAGCCTGAGCCCCCTGAGCCTGGTTCTGCTGGAAGTTTCTTCCTGCTAAAAGAGAGTTTTTCCTTCCCACTGTCACCAAGTGCTCACTCGTAGGGGGCCATGTGATTGTTGGGGATTTCTCTGCAGTAAAGTAGGATCTTTACCTTACAATATAAAGAACCTTGAGGTGACTGTTGATGTTGTGATTTGGACATTTGATCTTGTTAGTTATTTATCTACACTGTCTTTCACATGCTGGTGAACCCTCAACTCATCTTTACTCCAGGACTAGTACTCAGCCTATGCGATCATTTCTTTGCAATCAGCCATTTAACATGTTCTTTTTAAGCATACCTTCTGTTGCCTTGCCCATCATTATGTGTACCAGAATTAATGCACTTAAAAAACATCACATCTTACTTAATAATCTATACATATCATTTCCCTGATTATATTCAAGCATATATGCACACACACACTTGAACCATGGAATCTGTGAGTGTATAAACTTCTTGACTTGCAGGGAAATAATAATAAAGCTTAAATTAGATCCAGCCATTGCAACTGAAAACATGGTTTCGACAACAGTGATAGACTGACACTGACAAAACATTCCAAGATTAATAATAGCCTGGTAATAATCCACTCATTATCTCATCTTTGAATAAAACACGTAACCTGGTGTTCTTTGGTATAAATTGTTGCATGACATTCTACATCCTGATTCAGGACTCTGTAACCAATTTAACTTAAGCTGTGACATTTATGAGTTCGTACAGTTTCTTCAGTCAGGCCATCTGGCTCATCAAAGAGCCCGAATGACATCATGACGGACGCTCTTGATGAAAAACTAGAGGATGGAAGAGAGAAGGAGCTGTAGATCAACTAGTGTCCGCCCACCACCAGGACAGAGGATGGATGGAGCAGCTCAGTTACAACTTTCCATCTGTCAAGATTCATTAATCTTCTCGACTCCTTCTTTTCCTTGACTTTTCAGACTTGCTTTCGCTTCTTGCACAATTTGCCCTTTTTTTTTTACTCCAGCTGCAGTGGAGCAGAGTTAAAAGAGAGAACATAGTCTGGCAGAGGATCTTATGTGTGCGTGAGGGAGGAAACTTTGTTAAACATGTGGAGAGGTCGGTCACCTGGATGGAACCTGCCTGCAGCGTCTGTTGGAGGTGGTTTGTAGAGGACACTGTGACCACTGGAAAAACATTAAAGGTGAAAAAACGAAAGCCGCCCTGCAATAAGGTCCAAATTCACAGGTCACTTCATTATCAAACCTTCTTCAAATAACATCTGCCAATGCAACTTCTGTGGGACGGTCACCGTCATGTTGATTTTAAAAGCCACATCAAGGACTGGTGTAGTGTAACTCTGCTCTACAACGCTTTAAGGGGGTTATTTATTGTACGAGACGTTGGGAAATTTCTATGAACCTTAAACAAATGAAATGCTAGGAAACTTCAGAGGACTGTGAGTGTACTCTTCTCCCATGACCAAAATAAATAAATAAACAAACCAATAAATTATTTCGTAATCTAGAAATCTGGACACTGAACTGTACGTGTTGTTCCTGGCTTGGGAATGCCTCAGGATTGCCCTGGATAAGCTGGAGGAAGGGGCTAGGAAGAGGGAAGTCTGGGCCTCTCTGCTCAGGCTCCTGCTCCTACAACCCAGCCACAGATAATCAGAAGAAAAAGGATGGATGAATGGAAAATTAGAAGCACAAGACTGCATCATCAAGACTGGAAATCAGCCATTTCAAGGAGTAGTGCAGAAACGAAAATCATAGCAGGAAAATAACTATGATTTATGTTTCTTTAATAATAACTGGGTCTGATGGGTACTAGAGAGTATTGCTTTGACAGTCAAACGTTTGGGTGTAAGTTAAGAAGCACACTTTAAACAGATACTGACATGTGTAGTCTTTAGTTTGGTACTTTTATACTCACTAAAAAACCTTTACTTGAAGTATGAGTACCCCAAAAGTGTGTGTGCACATGTGTGAGGGATTATGTCAGAACTAAAAAGAACAAAAAACCAAAAACACCACAAATAGCGCACTGATTGGATGAGGTGGAACAGCGTATTTGCTTATTGAAACCTCATTCCAAAATTCTTCCCCATCCTGTGGTTTTATGTGCGTCAGTAACACTCACTGGAGTTGAGGAGGATCATGGCCTTCAGGCAGACGTACTCCTCTCTCTGCAGCTTCAGCTCACGGAACCGAGAGGTGGCTGCCAGCAGCATGTCGAAAATCTCCATGATGCCCTCCACACACTGTCCCTCCTCCCTAAACAGACAGAAAGAGAAGAAGTGAAGAAAAACAAGATGGAGTGGAGTGAACAAAAAGATAAGAAAGGGGAAAGAGGCAGCAACGAGAACCAAGATAAACTGAACATGCTGAAAGAAATTTCTATTACTTTGTGCGTCCCATTTATATCAACTCTTGTAGGCTAAAAAAGTTTATTATGGTGCCTGAAAACCATAATAATATGATGGAAAATTTAAAAAAAAAATCTATTTCAGCTGCAATTTTGATGAACCAGAGGATTGCAGTGTCAGCACACAAGTGCTAGTGGTACATTTTAAGACATTTTAGCCTGGTGGCAGTTGTGCCCTGCAACCTGCTTTGCAACCCACTTCTTCCATTCCCTGCTATATATGACTTACTCAGTGTCATAAATCAGAAAGGGCTTAGAGGTTCCAGAACAGAGCTTTACCTTTTGACATAATAAAACAAACTATAGTCATGAATGGGAAAATTGGGTATTAAAACCTCATCAGCTAACAACTTCCTATTGGTAATCCACATATTAGCAACCATCCATGAAGAAATTCAAGCCAAATACTGATGAATGTGTAAGAGAGAGCAGAAAGAGGTCAGAAAAGCAGAAAGAAAGACTTGATAAGACAAAATAAATTAGAAAATGATTCAATGGGCCGGTGGATGGATTTGCATCCAGGATGTTATCCTCATCTTTCCAAGGAGAAAGGCTGACAGGAACCTTACAGAGAAAAATAAGGCCGTGTTATGAAAACACATCAAGGCTAGCCTAAGCCTATAGTGATAGTTTCCGTGGCAGTGAAGAAAGAAAGGTCAAACACTGAACTCAACCCACCATTTCCCTCGTATAAATTTGCTCCTACCCTCAGCTCCTTCTGCATTTGCCTTTTTCACAAAAAATGTAGCATTTAGCTGTCTGACTACATACTGCTTCAAAGTCCTTAACAAAAATAAGGGAATTACATACACAAGAAAGTGGGACAAAGGGGAAAACTCAGGGTAAACAGCAATTGGTAAAGTCCTGTGAGACTAAACAAGAGATGAAACATTTTATAGCATCTACAGCATGCAGTCTGAAATATGATGGCCTCCATATGATGGAGTCTAAAATGTACAAGTTATCAGAACTTAGTGGCTCTGCTGCATTATCAACTTTAAAAAACTAAAGTCTGAAGTCTATTTTTGTCTTTTGAGAATTTTTGCCCTTTAGCAAAAAATATGACGAACTTTCCCTAACCCATCCCAGTTTATAATCTAACAAGTTCTGAATGTTGCACAAGGTCAGTGTCCACAGCAGAAATATATGTGCCAGTTTGTTTGACATCTGCATCAAGGAGAAATTCTTCAGAAATGCAATTATTTGTATCCTGTAGGCACCATGATTGTGGTCAACCCGCTCACTGGATTTTGGTGCATGTACTTTGTGTGAAAGTGAAAATCTGTGAAGGGAGAGAAGCAGCTAGGTCCCAGCACACCAGTGACATGAGTGGATCAGACACAGCGTGGGAGGTATAGCTGGGTCGGTGGTGGGTTGCAAAGTGGCATGCAGTTCACAGCAACAGTAGGTATTGTTGAGAAACTTAAAGAGCCTCATATAAGATTTGCCATGCTGAGAACACTGTTGAAAACCTTTCTCCAAGTTTAGCCATTAGGATATCCCTGCTGCCCAATTACAGTGTGTTTACTACGAATACAAAGGCTATTCAGCATTGGCAGATACAAACAACAGTTCTCTGGACAAATTCGAAGGTCGGTGTGGAAGGGAACAGCAGGAGATAAAAGACTGCGTTGGCAGTCCAGAGAAATCTCAGATGAATCTGGAACAAATGTTCGTGATGTGTATGTGTGTTGTGGATGACCTGTTTTATCGTGTGATGTCAATTTGTCATCATTGTGAAAAAACCTGGGGAGCTCAAACCAGCAATAATGTTGTGGCAGTTGCAGATATTTCTTATTCAGACATATTTTACCTTTTTACATTATTTTATGTGGGTGAGACAACAAAAGCACTTAAGAACATCTCAAAAAGATCTAAACTGAGAGTATTATGACATATATCAGGAAGAAACACAGAAACAGAAGCTGTGTGGGTATTTGAGCAAACACTCTCTGTAAGCTAAAGTCTCTGTGGAATAGCAGAAACAAGTATTTGTCGCTCTGTAAACCTGCTAAACGTTAGCTGATGACCAACTTCATAAAAGATTTTCAGTGCAATGGGATCACATTAGTTTTAATGCAATAAGTGCTAATCCCTCTCACCTGCTGAGTTTGACATCTGGAGAGAAGATTAGTTTTCCAGGATGATCCACCGACCTCCACATCAAGCCCAGCATGAGGATCTCCAACCAGCAGCACTTCAGCAGGTGGATTTGGTCTGTTAGACTCAACTCTACAAAGCCTGAGGAGAGGAGAAAAAAAAGGCCTCTTTACACTTGGAAACCACCCACATTCTGCCTTCATGGAATTATGAGCACAAAACCCTAATCTATCCCAAATTGCACAATTGGAATCAGCACTTATTCACACATTCTTTTAGTTGTACGCCCAGATCCACCAGTCAAGTTGGAGCTTGATTACATGTCTGTGCAGACTAATAATAGTATGCATTACTGCAGTATGGGGTCACTTTGAGATGTATTTGTGTTTGAAAGAAAAGCAGCTTTGTTTTTATGTGAAATAACATTAAACTGATCATAAATGTTCTATATAACAATGATTCATCGGGGGAATCATTTCTTCATCACTCCTGTGTTTCATTGGCTCACTGCCTTATCCAGTGCAACATGATGTTCAACAAGACAGGAAATATGGTGAAAGAGCAGTAAAGGATTCAGGCCAGCCTGGAATTAGACCAGAAACACTCACTGCTTGGAAGATTTTGTGGCCATCTGGTAATGTGTCTTAGCCAGCCAATCTATCAGGGCTCCCTGACCGTTGATATAGACACTGTTGCAAGGAACTTCTTTCTGTTGTATGACTACATAGAGCTCTACCCAGAAACAGAGAGAAATGTACAGGGGTGGTGCAGGACATCTGTAACTTTGTAACAGACTGTTGCACAACCGGTGCCTCAGTGCCAAACATGTCAACAGACAGAGCTACTTTGATGGGGATTCTTTGATTGAATCTGGCCTCAAAAGTGGGTCAGCTAACACAGGTGACACCAGAGAGTCACATGACACTGACAGCCTTCCTGTTTTATTTATGTCTGAATGATTACAGCTCACATGTCACCACCATTCATAACTGGGGCGATCGTGGCTCAAGAGTTGGGAGTTCGCCTTGTAATCGGAAGGTTGCTGGTTCGAGCCCCGGCTCGGACAGTCTCGGTCGTTGTGTCCTTGGGCAAGACACTTCACCCGTTGCCTACTGGTGGTGGTCAGAGGGCCCGGTGGCGCCATTGTCCGGCAGCCTCACCTCTGTCAGTGCGCCCCAGGGTGGCTGTGGCTACAATGTAGCTTGCCATCACCAATGGGTGGATGACTGGATATGTAAAGTGCTTTGGGGTCCTTAGGGACTAGTAAAGCGCTATATAAATACAGGCCATTTACCATTTTAAACTTGATTTAATCCTTTAGTGCAAAAGAAAAACAGGATCAATCATGAAAAGCAACTTTATGGAAGGAACCAACACTGATACTAACATCACATCAGGCTGCTACATTTATTTGCACTCATCTGGCTTTTTTTTTTCACTATTTGCTTTTAAAAAATATTTGGACCTCTAACTTCTTTTCAGTAATTCAATTTTAAAAAGGTTTATTATGAGAAAATGAAATATGTCATTTACCAGTATTTGGATTCTTGCTAGAAGTCCCTTTGAGGCCTCTTGGGTAAGTTTCTACAACTAGATTTGCCCATTGATTGTTCCTTTGGATCACTGACTGGATATGAAGTGCATAGTATTGTCTTCAGGTGTGTCTGTAGCTATTCTGTGTGGATTACGTGGTTGCTTTAACTAAGTTACTGAAGAACAGTAAGACTTTTTACTCGAGGCTAGCTTGGCTGCGTGTACGTTGGCTTACTGTCATATGGATCTCCTTTTATTTAAGGCGCTTCTGTCCAGGTAACTGCTTTCTACTTAATGCTCTGAGAAGTCTTGCTGTACCTGCTATTGTGAAGCAGCCTCGCTACTATCATGTTTCACTGCAGGGATGGTATTAGCAGATGATGAGGAGTGCCTGGTGTTTAACAGGCAGTGCTTAGAGCAGGGGTGGCAAACATAAGACCTGGGGGCTGGAATTGCACCGGCAAAGACTCCAATCTGGCCCACTTGACAGCTTTAGAAAATGTGAATGAGTGGATAGATTTAGAACTTTGAACTGTATTTTCATAAACGTTAGAGCTTTTTCTATTGATAAATACCCCACTGCCCACTGCCACTGCCACTGGACTGAAGTATCTTCATGTCATAATATATTGTTTAGTTTTTATAAAGCTCAAGAAAACTTTCCTGTGCCTTTTACCATGCTTTAGAATAAAGGCCTGATTGACAGAGAGATGGTTTCCTACAAAGAGAAGCTGCTCTTCTAAAGCCATGCTCAAGTCTTATCTTCCTGACCCCTTTCTGCTTGGTTACTTCAGTGACAAATTGTGGCAAACTGCTGGCTTTAAATTTCATTCCATCTTAAATCAACCTGGACCTTCTCCTCAAACATCTCTGATTTGCGTAAAAACTTTTGTGGTCTAAAGTTTGGACACATGGAGTGATTTCTGTGAAATGTTTTGTTTTTGTCATGGTCTGCGGCCTGGTGCCTGAGGAGCGGATGGGATGCCCACGCCTACGGGTGTGGCTGTCATCTCCACACCTGCATCCCATTCCAGGCGATCGTCAGGAGGACTATTTAACCCCGCATGGCCGGCTGTTCCACGCCGGTCCGTTAGTCACCATTCAGCGGTAACTTGGCCCCCACGTGAAGGTGGATGTGGAATTTCTGGTTTCTTTTGAACTATGTTTATTCTTCTACTGTGTGCCCAAGTTATTGTTCGCCGTGTTTGAGCGTACACCTGCCTGTGCTGCACGCCTGGAGTTCAGATTAGCCACCAGTAATCATCTTCTCCGTCTTCCTGGAGCCCTCTCTCGCAGACCCTCACCCCTCCATCCAGTTCCCACAGCCCAGCCCTGATTGTAAGATAAATAGCTCTACCCCGTTGTATGCTGTTATCTCCCTGGTCCCCAGTAACTCCCTTCCCTTTTGTGTTGCAGCCTCCCACGGTCCCGATAACGGAGTTTCCGAGTTGTTATCTCCCGGTCCCTTGGTTCTAATATTAACACTGCGTGTTTTCCTTTGATCATTCCGGGACACTCTTTGAGAAATAAAAGTTATTCTGCGTGCATCCCGGCGTATTGTGCTTGCTTCTAGGTCCAGCTTGCGTGCTAGAACTACGGTTCTTGACAGTTTTACATATCGAACATTTTTCAGGATGTATAATTTTTGAAATACGGTCCATGTATCTGCCAATGAATGTAGATCCACTTTCACCATTTTTTTTTAACTTTCAAATTTGAGGAAATGTTTAAACATGAACATTTCAAAAACTCATTAAGATAAAAGGCTGGTATTTTCAGTGGCGTTTCTTACCATCAAAATGAATCATGACCTGTAATTTGGATTACAGCTGTCTTATTATTGGCTAGTTAAAATGTGAAAAAACATCATGCAGTCCTACAAATTCTGTCACGATCCTGGGTCTTAGGACCCAGTGTTTTGAGTTTTAGTTCATTTTGATGTTTATAGTATGTTAAGCTCTTTAGGTCTCCTATGTTCATTTGCTTATTAGTTCCCCCTTGTGTTTCCAACCCATGTTAAGTCTCCCCTGCTCTTCATGTGTTTCATGTCTGTGTCTTACGTTGTCAAGTTCTGGTTATCATGTCTGCGTCTCATTATGTTTCCTATTTTATTTGGAAGAGATCCTGTGCTTTTATATCATGGTTTATGTTTTGAGTCCTTTGATGTACTGTTTCTTGTTTCCCTGGATCTCAGTTATGGTTACCTTAGGTTTAGCTCTTTGGCTTTGTTATATGGCTTCCCTGTGTTCCATGTTATGTCCACTGTGATGTTTTGTACCATGTTTCAGGTTCCTATGTTCTGTCTCCCCAGTTGCTGTTAAGTTTGCGTGTTTTAGAATTCAGTCAGTGTGTTTCCTGTTTTACTTTGAAGGTCCATGCCTCATGTGAGTGTTTCTAGTTTTGCGTCTGTCTCGTCCAGCCTGATTACTCCCAGCTGTGCTCTCCTTCTGTGTTTCATTCCCTCGTTGTCCCTCTGTGTATTTAGGCTCTGTGTTTCTGTTTGTCAGTGTCGTAGTCTCCCTCATGCTGTGTGTGATTCTCCCTGTAGTTCCTGGTATACTTTATGTTTAGCTTTCCTAGTTTAGTTTAGTACTGTTTTTGTGTTTCACTTTTTGCCAGCATTAAAGCTGTGTTTTTGAGTTTACGTTTTGTCTCCGTGAGTTTGCGTTTGGGTCCTCTCCTGCCTGCCACACAGCCGAATCATGACAAATTCCCATATTTGAGGACAAATGGTAAATGGACTGGTTCTTATAGAGAGCTTTTCTACTCTATCTGAGCACTCTACACAAATAAATGCTTTCTATCTAAGATTCGCACAATCAACACGAGGTTAGTATCTTGCCCAAGAATAGACATGCAGGCTGGAGCAGACTGGGATTGACCCACCAACCTTCTGGTAGTAGGTGACCACCTGAGCTACAGCCACCCCAAACCCACTATAATAATCTCCATATTGCAAAAGATCACTACTGACAATTTCAGAATGGCAATTGAATCTTACAATATTGCAAAATAAAGAATGTAGAACATTTTTTAACACAAAATTCTTTGTAACAAAAAGAAAAAATGTATGACTGAGTAGAATTAAAGAAAAGAAAAACATTTACTTAGCAGTACTTGTGTGAAAGAGTTACATACAGACTGAACTGAGTAGCTTGGATCTTACCAGGGATCTTCTTGGCCCAGCTGATCATGAGAACCAGTTCCTTGTCTGCCAGGTTGGTGAGGGTCATCATCATGCTGGTCTCAGTGAACGGCTTTTTCAGGTCCTCCATGAGGTAGATCTCTGGCGGCTCTGCCTCCATGATTCGGGAAATGAACTCCTCTGGGTTCATGGTTGAGTGATGCGTGTGATTTGAGTGAGTGTGGACAGAGGTGTCTTCAGGTGTCCCCAGGTGAAGATGCCGTTGACCCCGAGAACCCAGTCCAACCCTTACCAAACTCTGACCTGTCGTATCCCGAGGCTGGGGTCCACCGCGACGGTGTCGAGCACCACGAAAGCCACAACGTTCACGCCTCACCCCTGGTGAATGAAGACAACAGACAGTTGCCGAATTACCTGCAACTCCTTTACACTTCGTGTGAGAAAAAGCTTGTGCTTTATGCAATAGAAGGAAATATATATTTTTAACAATCTAATAAGAACAAAAAAAAACTGGATCTATCTGAGCATTAGCAGACACTATGACCAGTCTACTGATAAGAAGAGCAAAGGCATTTATAAACACAATGTTTCATATGTCAAAGAGCAATCCCAGCTGCAGTTTAACACACCAAGGTTAGCCCAGAATCACAGAGCAGGCAACAGAATGGAATGTGCTGATCATAAGAAACACTAAAGGCCCAAAGAAACACTATTACCTATTTACATGTGTCACAGAAATAATTAAAAGTATTTAGATGATTCTTACAGTCAGTGGAAGGAAGACTTGTCCTGCGTGCTTTTCAAAAAAGCTCAAAAGGTCTAATGAGCTCACAGACCTATTAACTGAGTCAATTTTAGCTCTGCTGTAAGACAAGAAATCATGAAATATCCCAATTCTAATGAAGATGAGTAAAAACCCACCGCACTTCATCATGCCCACTTCATAGCATTTACGTAGCCGGCAGGCTTGGCAGCTTTTACGCCGGTTCTTGTCAATAGTGCACTGATTTGTGGCAGGGCAAATGTAATCATTGTGTCCTAATAAAAGAAGAAAACACAGTAATGGATTATTTCAGCTGATGAGAAGAAAAATTGTGAGTAAATATAAAGTAAAAAGGTCATACCTTGGATGCTTCTCTTGAAAAAAGCCTTGCAGCCCTCGCAGGACCACACACCGTAGTGATAGCCGGAGGCGTAGTCGTGGCACACGGCGCAGAAGTGCATGTCGGCTTTCCCTAGCGCAGATGAGCACGATGAGGATTTCACTCCTTCCGCTCCTTCAGATTTCTTTCCCAGCAGCTTGTTACAGCTGATGATGGAGCTGCAGAGGGGAAGCGAAGAATCGTTGAAAGGGACAGCTTGACATTAGAAATTTTAGCCCGTCATTCACCTGTCATTAGCTGTCCAACAGGTACTGTGTTGCTGAAAATGTCTCCATAACAGCATTTAAGTCAACTGGAAAAATCGCATCACAGATAGTATTTATCGATGCAACACGATAAGTGCCATCATAACCATTAACTGCTCACATTAATCAACAAATATAGAGGAGAACTGAAGACACAAAAGAAACAGAAATTAATTTTATAATTAATAAAAAAATATTGCTATCATCTTTTAGCTTAATTGCTATTTTAAACACTGGTATCAGAATTTACTAGAATACGAACATACAATGAATTACTACACAACCAAGTGTAACATATTCCGCACATTTGTAACAGCCACCCTTCTGTGCAGACAGGAAGGGACGACGACCCACAGGAGCTTGTTTATCTGTTCTTATTTGGTGTCCATAGCAGGCGTCTAACTGGCTGTGGTTACAAGAGCAATGAACTTTAGTTACATATAGAACAATTATGATCTGTGAAATCTTTCTTTTTTATGGTGGCACTAGATTAGTCTCGTTTGGGTTCCCCCTTTCCGAGGGCTGTACAACAAAGGAGGTTAAAATAGTTCCCGAGTTATGTTAAGCTTAAATTCAGATTTGTCACCGTCACAGAGGTGGCTCGCTTTTAGCCGCGGTAACTTGGCCAAACACATGACCTGATCTGGAGAAGAGATTAGAGATCTGATTCAAAATCAGCTAGAAGTTGTGTGATGCAGAAAATGTGAAAAGTATTGCCACTTTTTTGGATATTTGTCACACTTGCATGTTTCACATTATTCAGTTATCTTTGTCTGTATTGGTTTTGTCTGTATTGGTCTGTAAAATGGTTTTTAAATGGCAATTTCATTTATTGAGGGAAGAAATCTAACCAAACCTCCCTAGTAAAAGTAATGAATGGAAAACAAAGTCCCATCTATCACTATAAAAAAGTTACAAAGCCATTTCTAGGACTTTGGGACTCCAGAGAACCACAATGAGACCCATTATCCACAAATGGAGAGAACTTGTAATGGTGGTCCAGATATGGCTGGCCTACCAAAATTACCTAAAAAATGCACAGACGAGTCATCCAGTAGTTCACAAAGCAACTCAGAACTGCAGTCCTTATTTGTCTCACTTAAGGCTAGTTTTCACGATTCAGCATCAAAAAAGAGGCTGGGCAAAAATGGCATCCATGAGTTCTAACGTCCTAGGACCTGGCGTCCACATATGTGGACATCACATTTTGGGTTATTTAGACCAAAATACTCAATTTTGCTCTGCAAGGGCTTGATATCCACTTATGAGGACATTATACTGCTACTGTTCTATCGAATGTTTAAACGAATATCCTCATTTGTGGCTCTCATTTTTCTTAGAAACAAAAATCAGGTAAAAAAAAAAAAAATCTAGTATTCTTTGTTTTTATATTCATCGGGTCCCAATCAGCCCAAATATCAAAGAGAAATGAAAAATGCATGCCGTGGAAGAGTTCGGGTCTTAGAAGGTTAAGGCGAAACCCACAGTTGGACACTCCCCCGCCCTTATATTTGCCCAAATGTCATCTGGTGAGTGATGAGACAAAAGCTGAACTTTTTGGAATATTTGGAAGGTAAATTTGGCGTAAAATGAACACGAAAAATATACTGACAGTCAAACATGTTGGTCGTACTCTGATGGTTTGGGGCAGCTTTCTTGATTGGACCAGTTGCTGTAAGGGAGGGAACCATGAATTCTGCTCTACCATCATTGTGTCCTAAAGTTGAAGCACATTTGTAGCAGGACAACTGACAGGGACTAGAAAGACGAACCATATTTCTCTGATATTGGCTTCTCTTCTTTGAATGCAAAATTGACTTTAAAATACTTCTGCTCACATACAAGGGCTTGAATAATCAGGTGCACTCCTGTCTTTAAGACTTCATACTAACATATCAACCCAATAGCACACTTTGCTCTCAGACTGCAGGCTTACTTGTGGTTCCTGAACATTTAAGAGTAGAATGGTAGGCAAAGCCTTCAGCTTTCAGGCCCCTGTTTCTGTGAAACAAGTTCCCAGTTTGGAGTCTTCACTTTTAAGATGAGCCTTAAAACGTTTCGATAAAGCTTATAGATAGGAGTAGATTAGATGACCCTCAACCCTCCCTTAGTTAAACTGCAATAGGTCTAGGCTGCTGGAGGGATGTACTGTTTCTTCTTTACTTACCAGTTGTTGATTCTGTGTCTTTATCTATGACTTTGCATTGAATCATTAGCTGTTATTAATATCTACTCACTTCCATAGCTTGTCTTTTGTTCTGTTCCTTGCCTAACCACCAACTGGTCGCAGCAGATGGCTGCCCATCCCTGAGGGTGGTTCTGCCGGAGGTTTGTTCTTGTTAAAATGGAATTTATCTTTTTTTGGTCATAGGCGATTATTTGGAGTGGCCTAGTCAAAGTCTGGACTTAAATCCGATTGAGGCAGAATGTTAAACAGGCCAAGCTCAAAATTATGTGTGGCTGAATTAAAACAATTCTGCAAATAAGCAATGTGAAAGACTCACTGCCAGTTATTGCAAATGCTTAATTGCAGTTCTTCCCGCCAAGGGTGGCACAACCAGTTGAGAGGTTATGGGGGCAATTGCTTTTTTACATGGAGTTTTACATGAAATGTTTACTTTGCTTATCTTTGGCTAATATTAAAATTTGTTTCATGATCTGTGTGGCAAATAATACTATTTTTAGTGTCTAAAAATAGTATTAAATAGTATTAAAAATAGTAGCTCGTCAATAGCTTCAATGCTAACATGTTAAATGTAATGGACACTATTGCTCCCATTAAGGTGAAGGTTATCTCTGGAAGGAAAAAGTCTCCATGGAGAAACTCCACACTAGTGAAAAATGAAAAAAGAGAGTGTAGGAAAGCTGAGCGCAGATGGAGAAAAACAAACCTCCAGGTTCATTATGACATCTATAAAGAGAAACTTCACAATTATAATTTACAACTGAGGAGTGCAAGAAGGTCCTACTTCTCTGACATCATCACTAAAAACAGCCATAATGCTCGGGTCTTATTTTCTACAGTTGACAGGCTAACAAACCCTCCTGTGTCAGTGGCAGCTGAACTTCATTCGACCATGGCCTGCAATGACTTTGCCAAATTCTTCACAGAAAAAATCCAAAAGATTAGACAAGCAATTGGTACATCAACAGCAGATCCAGACTATGTACTGTGTCCACCGAAAAACTGTTTAAACACCATAAAACAGTTTCACCCTATTAACAGCAAAGACCTGGAGGACATCTTAGGTCAACTGAACTCCTCCTCCTGCTGTTAAGATGTCCTGCCAACACGTTTTTTCAAAAAGGTCTCAAAGACTTTGGAGTCAGACCTGTTACAGATCGTCAACTTTTCTTTAATATCAGGTGTGTTTCCAGAACCACTAAAAACTGCTGTAATAAAACCTTTACTGAAAAAGGACAATCTTGACAAGACACAAATGAAAAACTACAGGCCGATCTCAAATCTCCCATTTTTAAGTAAGATCATTGAAAAAGCAGTTTCTCAACAGCTCAATTACTTCTTAAAACAGAATAACTACTACGATGCCTTCCAGTCAGGTTTTAGACAGAACCACAGCACTGAAACCGCTCTGACCAAAGTGTTCAATGACATATGTCTGAATACAGACAGTGGAAAAATGTCAGTCTTAGTTTTACTGGATCTCAGTGCAGCATTTGATACAGTTGACCACAACATATTACTCAAACGACTGGAGAACTGGGCAGGTCTTTCAGGAACTGTACTAAACTGGTTCAAAACATACTTAGAAAACAGGAAATACTTTGTATCAATAGGTAACTTCACATCTGAGCAGACAAGTATCACATGTGGAGTTCCCCAAGGTTCCATCTTGGGACCCTTTCTGTTTAACATTTACATGCTCCCACTGGCACAGATTATAAAGAACAACAAAATAAACTATCACAGCTATGCAGATGACACACAAATATATATCACAATGTCACCAGGAGACCAAGGCCCTGTACAGGCTCTTGGTAAATGCATCGAGGAAATTAATGACTGGCTGTGCCACAATTTTCTCCAGCTAAACAAAAAGAAAACTGAGGTAATAGTCTTTGGCCCCAAAGAAAAACGATTACAGGTCACCAGAGAACTTCAATCTATACATCTAAAAACCACAAACCAGGCGAGAAATTTGGGTGTAGTGATGGATGCAGATCTAAACTTAGAAAAACACATTAAGACAATAACAAAATCAGCTTACTATCACCTCAAGAATATTTCAAGGATAAAAGATCTAATGTCTCAACAGGACCTGGAAAAACTAGTCCATGCATTCATCTTTAGTAGGCTTGACTACTGTAACAGCATCTTTACAGGTCTACCTAAAAAAAAGCAGTCAGACAACTACAGCTCATTCAGAACTCTGCTGCTCGAGTCCTCACTAAGACCAAAAAAGTGGACTACATCAGTCCAGCTCTGCCTGTCCGTCAGAGGATAGACTTTAAAGTTCTGATGCTGGCCTATAAAGCTCTGAATGATCTGACCCAATATGAACCTTCCAGATCCCTCAGGTCATCTGGATCCGGTCTTTTATCAGTTCCCAGAGTCAGAACCAGACACGGAGAAGCTGCATTCAGCTTTTATGCCCCTTATATCTGGAACAAACTCCCAGAAAGCCTCAGATCAGCTGAAACACTCAGTTTATTTAAATCCAAATTGAAGACTCAGCTGTTCTCAGCTGCATTTGAATAAAGCACCAAATCCACACTTTTAAGCTTAAATTTCAAAACGTACATTTAACTACTGATTTTATCTACTGTTCTGATTTTATCTGTTTTGATTTTATATACTAGTTTGTTTGTTTGTTTGTTTGTTTGTTTGTTAATTAGTTAGTTTGTTTGTTTGCTTGTTTTAATCAATTTTAAATCATGCTTTTTATTTGTTTTTGTTTCTAATGTCTCTGTAAAGCACTTTGAAACACCTTGTTGTTGAATTGTGCTATACAAATAAACTTGCCTTGCCTTGCCTTGCCTAAAATCTGTGCAAAGTATGGCAAGTTACCAATAAGATGCTTTTTTCTAAAGCAAAGATCTGGCTCTTGTCCAAAAGCACGCAATAGTAGCTTTCATTAATAGTTGCTGCTGCTAGCCGATATAATGCCAAGTCTTTTGCCAAAAACATGTCTGCCAGAGCTTCTAGAGCTCTGTTGTCTGTCTCTATGTGACCCCCTACACCCCAGCCCCCACCCTCAACCCTCACAAGGATAAGTAAAAGAGAATGAAAACTAGGTCTTTGAATGTTACTACCACTTAAGCTAAATTTAACTGACACAAGAATAGCTTTCATCAGTGCTTTCTCAGTAATCTTACCTGCTGGGGCTGATACTGTGAACTTTGGGATCCAACCAGGGTGCATGTGGGCTGGGTTCATTATAAACTAGAGGCTGAGTGCAGTGCAGAGTAAGTGAAGGTACATTGTGGTGAGTGTGAGAAGGCCAAAAGGCTGAGGGGCTGAGGGGAGGACACAGAGATGATGGACTGTCAGTGATGGGTGACCTGGTGTAGCTCAGCATGGAGGGGCTGTAGAAGGTAAAAGGTCCGTGCCCGTGGTTATAGTCATGGTTACTGTCTGTGTATGGAGAGGGAATGCAGATGGTGTGGCTGTCCATGCCCACAGGAGGGCTGTACATAGCAGGCAGAAGTCCTGGGGAGCTCACCCTCTCTGTGGCTTTACTGGAGTCCACCTCCTCAAGCTGAAGGAGGGGTAACGGGTTAGCATCCAGGGCAGGGGAGGAGGTCATGTCAGGGGAATATACTGTATTTGCTGTGAATGAATGATTTGATGCAGGTGGATATTCTATAGCATCTTCTCGAATGGCCGGGTCCTGTAGCAGAGAGGGAAGAAACACTATATTAAAATAATTAACTGCTGCAAATTCTGAGCAAATACCAATATTTACAATATCGACCATAGCAGATTTTCTTTTTATACCAAGGAATTTATTTTTTCAAATTATGTAGCTCAGAGCTTTTCAGTTCACCATCTTAGAACAAGTCCATATGTTCAGAATGCACTAACTCAGTCCCAGTTCCAAGACATCAAAATTATAGTTTTGCAGTCCAAAACTGACAAGACATAATCATCTAATTTGGCAAAAGGCAGACAACAGTTAACACGGTGAAAAAGGATGAGAAATAGGGAATGTTTTTAAAATTGAACCTAACTGGAGCGTGACCAAGACAGTAACTAGTCGTCTATTTTGTCAACTGCTTCAAGGATCTGTCACCAGGGTGGCTTGCCCACTTACCTAACATGCATGTGCCAGTTTGCAACACAAAGCCTCATTACTGTGAAGCATACAAGCAATGCACTAGAATTATTCCTTAAGAATACTTAATTTGTATAGCACTAAATCACAGTTGCCTCAAAGTGCTTTATATTGTACGGAAAGTACTCTACAATAATACAGAGAAATTCCAACAATCAGACCAGCCCCTGTGAGCAAGCACTTTGGTGACAGTGGGAAGGAAAAACTCAGTTTTAACAAGAAAACACCTCCAACACAACCTGGTTCTGGGAGGGGCAGCCATCTGCTGTGACTGTTTGGGGGTGAGGGGAGGAAAACAGGACAAAAACATGCTGTGAAAAAGAGCCAGGGAGGATAAGGGAGGATTGAGGGTCACCAGATCCAGCCCTAATTATAAGCTTTGCAAAAAGGAAAGTCTTAAAGCCTAATCTTAAAGAGAGGGTGTCTGTCTCCTGAATCCAAGCTGGGAGCTTGCTCTACAGAAGAGTGGCTTGATAGCTGAAGGATCTGCCTCCCATACTACTTTGAAATATCCTAAGAAACACGAGTAAGCCAACAATCTGAGACCTAAGTGCTGTATTGGGGTCATCGTCACTTTAAGACAGGGTGTTATCTGGCGTTGTGGAACGATAAAGCTGGGTATCCTCTACATAGCAGTGAAAATACATGCTATGCCTTGTAATTATACTGCCCAGGGTAAGGCTATATAGGAAGGATGTAATGTAAACAGAACTTGTCCTAACACAGAACCCTATTTAACTCTACAATTAACCAATTAACATATCCACTAAAGGGGTCAACATTCTTGACAACGCTCTTTTACGAAGAGCCATTTTTAGCCATTAGTCCTTTGGACATAAGGCTGAAACTTCTTGTTCTCTTGCTGCTGTTTGTGCCTGTCTCTACTAAAGACAAGTAGCTCAATCAGCTCAGTCACTCTCCAACTTTTCTTTCTCTTCTCAGGGGGTGTCGCTCTTTGTTATGTGGGCGTGTCGCTCCTTGTGGCATCCTCAGCACATGTTCCAGACATCTTAGGTGCTGTTTTTCAATGTGTTTTAGTGTTTCTTAAAAAATATTAGCTCATTTTAAATGTGATGCCAGAAACACATTTAGTGGTACTTAAAAAAATGTTTAAGAAACATTTAGCAGCTAATTAGCTTAACTGTGCAATCTGTGTGCAAGAAACAGGGCGCTTCTCTGAGCCTGGTTCTGCTGGAGGTTTCTTCCTGGTAAAAGGGAGTTTTTCCTTGCTCATATGGGGTCATATGATTGTTGGCATTGTTTGTTGGGGTTTTTTTGTATTATTGCAGGGTCTTTACCTTACAATATAACGTAAGGCAACTGTTACAGTGATTTGGCGTGATAAATAGTATTGAATAGAATTGCACTGAATTGAACTGACTTGAATGAAATTTAAAGTCAATATTGGATGCCTGTAAACTTTGGACCCTCAGTTGCAGTCTTGGTTGCGCCATTAAAAATCACTCCATGGTCTCAGGAACGCTTCCAGAAGTCACTGTCCAAGAACACCGTGAACTATGCTAGCAATAAATGCAGGTTAAAGCGCTATCATGCAAATTATAAGCCAAATGGGATCGAGAAATTAAACAGTAGCAAACTGTTCTGTGGTCAGACAAATTTTAATTTCTTTATGGAAAATATGGATACTCTGCCTCAATAATTCTGATGTGTTGTTGCCATCAAAATCTAAATCAGCCAATTGTTCTCTTAAAACGTCACATTTTCTCAGTTTAAATATTTAATGTTCTATTGTAAAATCATTGCATTCTGTTTTTATTTAGATTTCACACAGCACGCTGACAGATGATGCCACAGCTTCATTTACCATTTCAAATAATTTCAGTAACACCCTGTAGCTTTTAGATAAAATAGCATCCCTGGATGAATATACAGGACAAAAATTGGTTTTCAAAGAAATCAATTTCTAATGTAGTCAGCAAAATGTCTTTACATAGTCACACTGAAAACAATGAATAAAAGTAATAAATAGTGTAAGGATGTTAAAAATGTGCAGCTCACCAAAATAAAATGTTTGTGTCTGCACTTCCCTAAAACTCTACAACTGATATTGAATATGCATAGCTAACAAGAACCATGAACAAAACTAAGAAGACAACATTACTATTTCTATAATGAATGCACTGCATCTGAAACCTTAAAGCAGATGGGCTACAGCAGCAGAAGACCACGCTGGTTACCAAACCCATCATCTAAGAACAGGAAACTGAGGCTGCAATGCACACAGATCACCAAAATTGGAAGAAGATTGGAAAAAGGTTGCCTGGTCTAATTCATTCAGATGACAGGGTCCAAATTTGGCGTAAACTATGCATCAAAGGTTGACACTGAGTTCACTGTACTCAGACATCTCAGTCAAAGCATCTCAACATGAGGGCACTTTTATAATGTGGCAGAAGATGTAGTGGGAGATTCATGGACATAATGGATTTTTAACTGATAAATCTGCAGCAACTCAATGATTCAGTGATGTCAATCTGGACAAGAATCTCAGCAGAAAGGTTCCAACACCTCAGTGAAGCTAAGAGAGGATCCAGGCCCTTTGGTCTGCTGAGTGCGTTGCTCTCTGGTAATATTAGTCTGCAAACCTGGAGCAGACACTGGGTGCCTGCTGTGTTTGAAAGATAAAAACTAGACACATGTTTCATGACTAAGTGAAAAAAATTAGTCTGCTAAAGTTTTACTTTTAACCAAGTAAAGTGCTCACTGGGACTCTAACGCTCTTACATGAGAAACACGAGATTCTGTTTTTTCTCGTTAGCGTGCAAAGAAAACAGTGGTTATCAAAAAAAGATGTTGTGGTGTAATTGGTTTAGATTGCACTACTCTGCCAAAATCACACAATACACAATAAGAAGGCCAAACGGTTACAGTATAATAACTCATACAACTATAATAACTCAAAGCAAAACACCCTGCACTAGTAGTTCAACTGCTATAGCAGTTGAACTACTAGTGCAGGGTGTTTTGCTTTGTTAGCTAACACCAACAACTGACATGTGTTAAATATTCCCACAGACTTTGTTACATGCTGCTTTTACTGAACATGTGTCTCTCTCTCTCTCACACACACACGCGCGTGAACACACACAGTTTGTGGAGCCCAGTGAAATGATGTAACAGCTTACTTACTGTGCCGAAGGTGAAGAGACGAACCCAGTATTTATTAGCAGTGTGATTAAACTGTGAACATTTGTTCCAGAGACAGAATATAAAAGCACAAAATGATCTGCCTGTTTGACCTCACTTGGCTTGCAAAACTGTGCCAGCAAAGCCATCCACTGGTTAATCAGTGCCAGAATCAACAGCTCAGCAGCTGGTACCTCTGCACAGTCAATCGCACACACCACGAATGACAAGTAGAAACATACAGCTGGCAGGTAAGGGGAGTGAGTACATCTAAGTACATTTGGAAACACTTTTTCAAGCCCTACGTGCATCATGAAGTCCTAGGTGAGCAAAGAATCTGAAGGTACAGTAGTGCCGTGGCTATGGAGATAGAGAAAAAGCAAAATATGGCAAAATTTAAGAAAAAGCTAAATATAATACAATGAATAACGCTTTGTGTTTCAGATCTCTGTGTTCTCTTATGTTTCTGTTTTTAATTTGTTTTAAACGCTGCTCTATTTTCCACTTCGTGGCCACAATCCATGGCCTGGATAGTAAACATAAAGCTACATTTCACTCGCTTCACAGTGTCAGCTGAGACCAAAAGTCATAATAACATGCAAATGTATCTTGGACAAAAGGATAAATTATAAAACACAAGAAAAACGTCGGCAGTTCAACGCTGTTACTGTGTACTAGTCAGTCAATGAACAGTCAATGTGTGTATAACGCAGGTCAGGTCAAAGTGGTCTTGAGCAAAAACAATGCACCCTGTATACGAACGTCACCTCTCACCTAATTCCCAGCCTGGGTCCTTCGAGGCCATCACATTCACTTCCATTCACAAAAAGTAAATACGTCCAAGAAATACAGCCTTTGATTTTAACTAGTGGGTTTCACTGAACCCAAGTGGACACCATGAGTTGAAACCTATAGCTCTTAAGTCAGGTCAGATGTCCATACATACAGACATCTGCCTTGCTGCAGGTAGATGGTTAAGATAAACAGAGACAGTAATTATGTATTTTCCATAATATGTTAGCATTATTTATCATTTAGCTTTTACCATCCAATTTTAGAAGTGCATGCAGGGCACTGTAAGTAATGTGTATGATGCTGAACATGATAATCACCTGATCTGACGAGAAGAAGCAAATATCTGCTCATCGCTGACATCAGATCCGAAGACAGCTTACACAGTAACTGAAGCTGCTGTTTTAAGCTTGGTATTTTGGTTCAAATACATTTCATAAATTTTTACTAGCGGTTTAAATCAGGAAATCTCTCTTAGCTGTACTGCCAAGGAGCAGAGATATGAAGCTATCCCATATGGAAAAGATATATATATAAATCTTATAAAGTTTGTTTCTGTCTTGTGTGAAACTTGTATGAAAAGCATACAAGAGTAAAAACAGATATAAGATCCCTTG